TTAAATTAATCCAGTTAATTGACTAGGGACACAGAGCCTGCTTTGGTTCAGGAGAAGTATTCACAAGGAATAATAAATTATTCTAAAGCAAGTAGTTACAAGTTTAAGAGGGACTTTTTTTAAAAGGTCTCTACAAAGAATAATGTCAACTTAATTCATCATTAGACGTACCTTCAGGCAGCAGCAGGTAAGTTAACAGTATTGATTTCCAAAAGATCCCTCAGCTGCTTATAGCAAGAGAACAGAGTTTTTATGTTTTATTCTAGAGGAGTTAGCAGAACATGTCTGTATCTATGAGGAAGGGGATTTTTAATACCCTCAACCCCAAATCAGGAGGAGTCTGTTGGCACCTTTTCAACTAACCCATTTCATTATGTTTAGATCTTTTGATAAAATTTTGTTAGTCAAAAAATGCTGCCACCAGACTCCTGATTTTTCTTTTGTTGCAAAAGATTAATATGACTTTCCTCCTACAGTGTTATGAAAGCCCAATAAGTGTTACAAATTAGAAAAAAAATATATTGTAAGACAGGACAAAACAATGATAAAAAACTTTATAAGATGCGAATTGAAAAAAGAAACAAAAAGTATTATTCTTACATGGAATTGGAACAGACCTAAAGAGAATCATGCATCAATTTAGCACTTTTAAGAACCGACACTGATACCAACCATATTAGCAATGGTCAAGACAATAAGTTTTCAGTCAAATTAATAAGATTATATTACAGATTAATAAGGATTTCTAATTAATTTGGAACAGTTAGAACAATTAACCAGTGGAACAACCTGCCTCCAGAAGCGGTGAATGCTCCAACACTGGAAGTTTTTATGAAGAAACTGGACAGCCATTTGTCCAAAATGGTATAAGGTTTCCTGCCTGAGCAGGGGGTTGGACTAGATGACCTCCAAGGTCCATTCCAACTTTATCATTATTATTATTATTATTATAAATCTAGTGCTTTAAAACCTTATCTTAAAAGAAACATGAACTTTGAATATGGCTGCAGTCTATGTTTCAAATTATAATTCATAAATGGTTTCTAAATGAAGTTAAACTTAGTTGCAGGTTTATTTTGTAGATGCGAAGTTGCATATGGAAGTGCTACGTTTTTGTTGCAGTTTCAGTCCTCTTGAATAGTATGTGCATGCACATAAACCTTAAATTAAAGATTGACCCATCAATCATGTCTATTAAAAAGTTCTGGAAGTCACTCAACATGAAGATCTTCCAGAAAGTGTTTGGTAGCTACCATAGTACAGTATCAACATCGTAATAATAATAATAAAGATTGTATTATGTATTATATCCATATTTTTTCTGGTTTGTTCTCATTGGAAGACCTAGAACACCAGGTGAAGGGCAGAATGTCACAGAGAAAAATCATCTATATATGTGATTAAAAAGAGTTGACAATGACTTGAAGGCACACAATTAATCAATCACAGTTTATGGCTTAGCATTATCTACCAATGAAATCCCTAAGGCTTGTTCAAAAGCCATGATTAGAAAATCTGGGCTTATGAATTCTATGCAAAGGGGCCTTGCTCTCTCAACACCTTCAGGTTGCCATCTAATCTGAGCCATTCTGGTTTGTCTCTTCCCCACTCCTGGTTCTCTAGTGCAAACTCAGAGGACAGGGGTGCCGCTTTGATCAATCTCTAGAAGGAGGAACTGAATTCTTTGGACTGTACCAACTGCTCCCTTTTGGGCATGACATTTCCATCAATACAGCTGCAACCAGATCTAGGTCAGTGGGCAATCAGAAGCTCTGAGCAGGCGGCCAACTGTAAGTGCATGAATTGCCCGGTGAATTGCAGTAGGTTCATCTACTCACCCAGAACTCTCTACACCAGTCTCCCTAGAGATGGGGCCTATTGTGGGTCAGGAATGGTCATCCCAAACATCTGGAGGACATCAAGCATGGAATGGCTGATCTGTTGGGCACGTCCATCTTCTAGAAAATCAGGGCGGAAAAGCAGCTGATTTGCTACAGCATTCCAATTTTAAAAGTCCTCCTTAGTCAGAACTTTGAATGGTCTCTTTTGGTGGCCACTGGCCAGATTAAAAGTTTTCACTTCAACTGAACATTAAAAAAAAATACTTTAGGAGTTGCTTGGGTGTTTATACTCCTCTAATTTTATTATAGTGAAGTTTTATTGAATCGAATGTTCATGCAGTGCATACGTTCTGAAATCCCCCTCTGTGTGTGTCCGCTTATGCAGGTGTGAGTTTAAATGAAAGTGCAGCCTACACACTTTAAAAATAATAAGGATAAAAGAAAATTCTCTCCCACTGTTTGCCTTCCTCAGCAACTATCTCTGTCATGACTAATTAGTCTGTTGCTTTGCCTCATTCTTTTTAAGAGAGAGATTTTGAAAATAAGAGCATCTCACCCCAATAATTCAGTCTACAAATAGAGCAGCCCACCACATGAACTTTTACCTCTTTAAATCTGCACAAGGTAATCTCTGTGCCATAATTGGATTCTCCCCCATCTTTGGAAATCAGGCTTCCCCATCTGGGTCCTTTTCTGCTTCAGGGCTGGCTCACGTGGGTGAAACAGGTTGCTGGTCTCCCTTGTTTTCGATGCAACCCCTGGGGGGGGGGGGAACTGGCCAGTTTGCAATCCATTCCATCAAAAGACCAAAAGGATTGTTCTTAATGAGAGTGGAAAAATAGGATGACAGCCAGTATAAATAAGGCTATTAAGGGTGAGCAACTCCACCACACCTCCCTTGCATTAGGGAAGCTTGTAAATCAGAAGGCACCTATTGACTTGTGCACAGCACCTTGGCACATGAGAACGAATTGATTGCAAGCCAAACCACCTTTTGGTCCACACGGTCTTGCCTCTGCCTTGCCACTTTGTTTTTCTTCTCAAACAGCTATTTTTCTGGCTCTCCCTCTCTTGCTCCAGAATGCAAACCAGGGAGATGTTAAAGGATTCTGTGGTCTAAAATAATTAGATGGATTTTTCTGAGCTTATGAGAAGCTGGAGAATCTGAAAGAAACAACTGTACCATGCACAGCTGATTGCTCAGCAGAAAAAATTATGCATTTCCTTTGTCATGAAGCAGAAAAGGATATTATGTTCCAGAATTTTATTTAAAAAAGAAGAAGAATAAAGATTGACCTATAACTATGCAATTTGCTAGTGAAGGCAGATTATCTTAGACAGATGGAAAGGGCAATAGGAAAATGCTTATCCCAGAACTTGGGCTCAGGTTAAATAAAGCACAGGAGAAGACTTCTCTCCTGGCACACAAAAGGCCCTCTTTCTCCCCACTTCTGTAAACCAAGGGAAAATTTCTGCAGGGCTTACAGAATAATGAATAAAATTTATTTTATTGTACAGATCAAAGCACAAGGTCATAGTTTAATAACTGTGGTCTTGATTTCCCAATGCTTTTTTATACAACCAAAGATCAATCGATTCTGTGACTGGTTTGGTGGCGAGGGTCAAATGGATGAAGTACAGTTGAAAAACTTTAGTACAAACACTGCTTCAGAGCATCTTCTTCACTGTCATTCAGGTATTCTTCCAAGGTCCCTTTTTCTTCTATAACCATCTGATGCAACATTCCATACCTACCTATTTTCTTTGGGGAGTACAGTCTGTCAACATCATTGTGTGGATGAAGGGCATGACTCATTGTCATTATTTTTCTGGTCTTCCTATCAGGGACATTTAGTTCTGCTTGAGTACAGTCCACTATTCCAGCTATGCAGCTAATGGCTGGAATTGCCCAGGTGCTAATTGCTTTAATGGTATTTCCTCCATTGAGTTTGAACTTTAGTATCTCCTTTGTTCATACTGTGTATTCACTACGTCTTAGCTTCAGTGTGCTTGATGTTGTCAGCTTGAAGGATGCCCAGGGATTTGTAATGATTGGCTTCATCCAGACTCTTCATGTTATTTCCATGGCATAGGACATCTTGACTCCTTTAGTTTTCTCTCACGTTTGATGGTTAGCATGGCACATTTGTCCAGTTCAAACTCTATTGCAGCGTCTTGGCTGTATGTATGGACAATGTGGAGCAACAATTCTATTTCAGATAGTATTTATGCCATACAGCTTCAGATCGTCCATGTAAATGAGGTGGGATAGCTTGGCAGATGTTTTGATGTTTGATAGCCATGGCCTGAGTTATTCTGTATTGTTGACAGAGGGATCAATGCAATCACAAACATTGATGGTGATAGCAAGTATTCTTGAAGGATCTCCCTCCCTCCCTCCCTCCTTCCCAAACACACACTCACACTCACACACACACACACACACACTGTCTTTCATACACACACACACACAAACACTTCTGAGCCTGCCTTGCTAGTCCAACTCTTTCTTTCTGCTCTGTGCCATCCTATCTCCACCTACCTCTTCCTCCTCCACCTCCTGGCATTTTCTCTGACAAATGCCTTCTGTTCTATTGGGTCCTTTTTTCTCCTGTTTTTGTTCTCTAGAAACATCACCTCCCCCAAAATTTTCTGATTGAACAATTCAGAATGTACCCATGTTACTGGCAGAGGCTTCATCCTAAGGCCTGATTGATTCTATCTTGACATCCCTTGGAATTTGTCCAGGGTCTGAATTGGGATCTAATGTCTACTATCAATCTAGTCCCAACCTCTTGCTCCCCATCTCCAGGGCGACCTTCTGCCTGTCTGGCTTCTGCATCTCTTCCTTCTGTGGTGCGTGTCTGCCAGACAGACACCCAAGTCAGCTGCACGAGGATGGGGTGGGGATGGCAGGCTCTTTTGCCCGGGGGTGGGGCAGAGCCAGGCAGCTGCATCCCATAAGAGGTTACTGGCTTGGTATGGCGGGGACAGGCAGGTCAGGGGCAGATTTCCACCCAACCCAACTGACCACCCAACCCAACCCTCCCCCTCCCTCCCCCCCTCGCCTCCGCCCCCTTCGCTGCCTGGCGCCGGCTCTCCCTCCATCCCCGCGGAGCTGTCCCTCCTGTTGGTGCTGAATCGTCTCCCAATCCCGCCGCCGGGACTCGCTCCGGCGACTTAGCTGCTTCGTTCCAAGACCCCCCAATCACGCGCCACCTCCTCCTCGGGTTCTCTCTCTCTCTCTGTGTGTGTATTTTAACACTGCTAGAAAAAAAAAGCGCGGTGGGGGGGAAAGAGTCAGAACAACAGAATAGCACAAGGAAGTGCCAGCCCCATTTGGGCTGAGGACTCCGGGGAGAATGAATCCTAGTTATTTGACTTTGGAGAGAATCCCCTCCTCTTTTTCTCTTCTTTTAGTTGTTTTTGGAGCAGCTAGCTAGTCCCTTCAGCTGAAGGCGCTTCTGTCCAACCCTTAGACTTATCCTGTTTGGAGGAGAGGGTGAAACTGGAGAGTGGGGCGTCTCTTCTCCACGGGGTTTATCCATGCTTGGTCGGCAAGACCCAGAGTTGTCCTTCTCTCCGGGATCTCTGTCAGAGAGCCAGAGACAACGGGAAGTCACTTAACAAGCTCGGAAGAGAAGAACCAAAAGGCGGAAAGGGATAGTTAGAGCAAGTCCACGGGAAGCCTTGTTCTCCGGACTCTTATGGCTTGAAGGTAAGGGCAAAGAGCACCAGGATTTATTTATCAAGTTCTATGGATGAGTGTTACGGCTTGCATTGCAGAAGAGAAAATGTCTAGAGTTAGGGCTAGCTGACTGGGCAGCAATAGAATATCCGGGATGCACATATTTCCCCATTCAAATGTATTTTTACAATAATTTATCCACAGAGAGCAACTCAATAAAGCTCAGATGAGACAATTTCCTGAAACAAGTGGGGAAATGCCAATCTATCAAACATCAAATTTTAGAGCAGCAAATCTCCTGTCTTGTCATTTCTTTAACTGTGTGAATAGATGTGCACCTATGTTCGGATATTTATAGAATGCTGATGCTTTCCGCTCCTCTTTCAATTACATTGTTGAAGGTAGGATTTCTGTATTCTTTAATATCAATATAGGAGAGAATCACAGCTCATTTTCCCGGTTGGATTTGTTGTCACTAATCGTTTTGCTTCACGGGAATGAGGTAATATAATAATTGAGCCAGCCCAAACATCTTTAGACAGGCTAGCCGCTGAATGCAATCCTATTTATGCACTTATGTCTACTCTCATTAAATTTTTATACCCAACAATGCTGCTAGATTTCTCCAAGGTTTTAGCTGTTCAGTTTGCTTTGCTCAATACTCTCCAGAGGTCATTGATCTTTGTTCCCATTCTGCATAGGGGTAAGTTTATTTGCCAACCCATCTCTGCTGCATTTATATCTGCTCTACCGCTGCTTCTTTCTCTCCAGAAATCAGGACAAAGTTGATCACCTTTTTCATCTAAAGGGTAAAACAAGTCTGGCCCAAGTGGAGCGGAGAACTCTTTTTTTTTTTGCAAATGAGTCAAAATATTGCAATCCTTTTGAGATGGTGTTTTTTTGTTCATTGTATTTATTGTATTTATTTTTGCATTTATTTTAAGTAATTCTGCTTCATGACACCAGCCTTGACTACTTCTGGGAAAGCCCACTGAGTGGCTATGAGAGTTTCTAAGACTGTGTTTATTGAGAAAGGGCCACTTGATGTGCTGACAGCAATGCCCACTGTAGCCCTGTCCCATCCCCCCACTTGGATATGCATCTACGGGTCTGGGAAGATTGCTTGAGACAGACTGCAGGATGCCTTAGCACAGCAACACTTTTAAAATATTCTGATATAAGATGGGGTGAAAAGATGCTGGTAGAATCAAAGAGAAATCACATAAGTTCAGAAGTCACATAAGTTCTGTAGGCAATGAGGGAAGTTGCTAATCAGAAGTGGCCCTCTTTTTTGCAGACATGTAGCCATCTCTGTGGGAACCTTCAGGAATCTTTTTTTTCATGTAAATATACTCACACAAAGACTTTTTACAGCATAGCCTATTTAAGGACGTTTATGGGCTTCAGACAAATCTTAGTGGGTTGCCACTGGCAACCTACTGTATATTGGTGGCTTTTGTTTTGTCCTTTTGTTCATAAAAAAGGAAATATTTGAAAAATGTTAGAAAGCCTAAAACAATGATTTCCCTAGGAGACTGGTTTTCAGCACTTACTTAAAGCAAGAGACAAGATTTGTTTTCATACCTGGGAGTTTTTCACACGTTTTTGGTGGTGCTTTAAAGGAGTGTTGTCTTAAATAACAACCCAAACAGTTGTTGTTTCACTTCATAAGAATCAAAAATTATGCAGAACACGAACATTGGAGCATTGGAGAAAATGCAAAATTGACTCTATTGACCTAATAAAGTTGATCAGTTCTCTATAAAACAAAACTTTGCCTGAGCCTTCCATGCTATCAGAAAGAATGGCAAGCTGAGAAAGAGGAGATAAAATTTGAAGTCTCTGATGGGTACAGATCACATGTTAATTCCTTTCTTATGGGGACAGGCTATTTTGACTTCATGAATTCTTGTCTGCATTCACCTAAGTTAGTCAAAGTACAACAAGGTTAATTGTGGCACAACATGTTGTGACATGTTGTTTCAGCATGTTATACAGATAAGGCTATTATGGTAAGCCATAACCGTGTTGATTTGGCCATATATATTTGGGCAAAAGTGTATTTTATTTACCTGGGTTTAGGTTTTAGTGTGTTGTGTAAACCCAGCCCTTCAGTCGTGTGCCTTCAGTTTTCTGGGCACTGGGTGACTTGATTTGACAGATTCTTTCCAAGCAAAGGAAGGAGACGAAACCTGTGAAAAAAGACAGCTGATGCAAGTTGCAAAAAAGAAAATAAATGTCAACTTTAAAAAAGCAAAACAGAATCAGAACTTTGATGCCAGGTGACTTAAGGCAAGCAAGCAAACACGTATCCCATAAAGAGGATTTAATGCAATGATGAAACAGTGTGACTCTAGGGTGCAAATGCAGAAATGATTGCATGTAGTTAAAAGTCATATAATGTGGCTTATGTAAGGACCAGGAAAAGCCAGAAGGCTTCATTGCTACCAGCTTTTGTGAGATAAACTAAAAGGCTAAAAAAATATAAAGAATGGTTTCTGGAATCAGGTAGGACTAGTAATGTTCCAATATCTAAGGTGTTGCCACAAAGAAGTGGGAGTCAACCTATTCTCCAAAGCACCCGAAGGCAGGAATATGAAACAATGGATGGAAACCCATCAAGGAGAGAAGCAATTCAGAACAAAGGAGAAATTTCCTGACAGTGAGAACAATTGATCAGTGGAACAACCTGCCTCCAGAGGTTGTGGGTGCTCCAACACTGTAGGTTTTAAAGAAGAGATTGGACAGCCATTTGTCTGAAATGATATAAGTTCTGTTGCTTAGACAGGGAGTTGGACTAGAAGACCTCCAAGGTCCCTTCCAACTCTGTTATTCTGTATCTCAGGTGGCAGAGATTGTGTTTGACTTCAGAATCATAGCTAAGGGGATATACCCCCACCTCTACAGCTTCAGCACGTGACTTTCTTAGAACCTTTTGCTTTCCCGTAGTGTTTCCCTAACACCCCAGGCAGACACTCAGGCACAAATCTGCTTGCCACGTTTCAAAGTCCTCCCTACTCAATACTTGTCTCTAGAGGTGGAACTCTTCTATGGTTTCTACCTTGCTGCTGATTGGCATCAGTCTATGCAGCAAAGAGGACTATCGGTCACCATGTAGGATTCTGGTGTCCTCTGTACTTTCTGCTGCAGAAGCTTGTAAACAGGAACAGATGGCCTTGAGTCATACTTATTCTCGGTGGCTTTCATGGACAGCTTTTATGGCAATTGTGTGGAAGTGTCATTGCCTTCTTACTGGTGATTGTCTGACTTCCCAGTTTGGCTCACAGTCCTGGTCTCCTGGTGGTGACCTATCCTGCTTATGTTCCCCAGGCTCCAGGCCAGATGAAAATCAAGCTGCAATTAATTAAAAGCTACCAAATTAAAAATCAAACCTTGTTCCTATTGATATGTTTTGAAGAAAGAGCTGCTCTACAGGTCTACTCTTGTCTTTTCACTGAGTTAAAATGAATATCACCATAGATCACACTTTCTCACTTAGCCCCAGAAGCCCCCTGATTACTATAATAATGGCTTCAGGTGCATACTGATTGCTCTTCAATAATCCAAATACATTATTAATTAAACAGAGGATACAGAACTACTGTATCTAACCCATTTTCTGGATGGAGAACCCGCTGGCTCAAGACCTCACCCATAATTGAAATAATTTTATTTTGCCAATTGATTGCTTCCTCTAATAATGTCAGCAACAAAGCCTGTTAATAAGTTCTTAGGGCAGGCGAAGGAACTGCTGTCGAAGTAAAACAGCTCTGGCTGGTAGTTAGTAAATATTTAAAGAGTGCTGTTCTAATAGATCAGGTTTAGCAAAATACAGCAGAAGGGATCCGCTTCTTGTCCGATAGATGTTCACAGCAGGCTGGTGGAAGAATCAATGGTTGCGTTAGGTAACTCTTCACATAGGAGAATTCATGGACACAATTTCAACATCAGGACTTAGAATAACGGAATACGAGTCGGAAGGGACCTTGGAGGTCTTCTAGCCCAACCCCTCACTCAGGCAGGAAACCTTATACCATTTCAGGCAAATGGTGGTCCAATCTCTTCTTAAAAACTTCCAGACTCAAAACAAGGCCAGCGTAATATCAAAGCATTTTAACTTTCCCAGACACCAAATTATGGATTTTAAAGTAGATGATTGGGAACGAAGATATTTTACCAGCACAGTTGCATGAGTGAGTGCTGATTTTATATGTGTGGAAAGATGTTTCTCTCTATCTTAGGAAGACTCAGCAAGCATAATGGGTTTTTAACTCTTTATAACAGTTAATTAACCAGGTACTTGTGACCTGCATCTGCCTATAATCACCCTCCCAGCCTGCACTGACCAGCCTTATCCCAATTTAAATCCTAAATCCTTTTAGTCACTCCAGGCTTCTGATGAAGCGAGCTGCGTGGCTTTTAGAAAATCCGATGCCTTTTAAATAAAAGGAGTAGTGAATCTGAAAAGCTGCTAGCAGGCTCTTAATTTTTTCCCAATCTCAGGGTTACATGCCCCCCCCCCGTGCTGCTATTGCACCCTAAGAATCACAGACCAAGAAAGGGTTACATGCCCCCCCCCCCCGTGCTGCTATTGCACCCTAAGAATCACAGACCAAGAAAGGAGCTGGTCCAGCATCACCCTTCACTGGTGAATCCCTGATGCATGTGCACTTGCGATTTCTCTCTAGCCTTTGATCTGTGATGACTGGAGGCTGAAGCCCGCCTCTGACACTGCTAAAAAGGCTTTGATGTGATGTGACTGATGGGTCTGTCAGTGGAATGAAGGTTGGAGGCAACTGGTGAACGTGTGCTGGACTTGGCTGGGAGTCAGGGCCACCATGCACACAGAAACCCATCTCCCTCAAGACAAGGGTCCTCTGCTTCTATCCTTGCCGTCTTTTCACCCCGCTGTCCTCTCCAATCCTCTGGAGCCCCCTCCCAGAGCTCCGTTCCATGTGGGGCTGCTCTTGTTCTGTTGGGTCTCCTTCCCTTTTTTGACCCGTTTGATGAGGAAGGCTGACACCTGGATTATTTCATGAGGGATATTGAAGCTGCCTTCTCCATGGACTCAAAGCGGCTAGCTTAATAAAAGAGCCACTATAAAACTGTGGCCCCACATAAAATAATCCACGGAGCTCGCATCACAAAGTCTGTTGCAGGACTGTCTTTGCAGGAGGCCATGGCTCTCCAAATACTTGCCTCCATGAAAGACTTCTTACCTAAACCGTATAATTAGCTACTCAAACGTGCTTTAGTCAATCAGACAGAGAGACAGAACCTCATGCTGTGAGAACAAAGCCCTAGAAGCTCCATGTGGGAAGAGCTGCAAGATAAAAGAAACCAAAACTAAATGGCTGGATGGTGCAGCAAATCTTTCCCTAACGAGGTTGGCCCAACCAGCAGATGGGGAGAGATAACAAGGTGGCCTCTTTGAACTGGTGCCAGGGGACCTTTGCTTCACCTTTGCCTGGATTGACCTATTTCAGGCTGCAGATGGCTGTTTGTGGTGATCCTCCTATAAGATTAAAAACTCCACCTTCCTGCATCTGGAAATCTAGTCTGGAAGAATGCCCTGTTTGCTTGCTTGCTATAGTCAGGAGAAGCTTGATATGTGTGCACATGCGTAGTTTGTGTGTGTGTTGTGAGAGACAGAGAGAGGGGGGGGGGAACCATTGAAAGTGTGACCTTCCATTTGCACCTGGCTCTGAAACAGTGCAAATATTTCAGGATAGAGTTGTCTTCTTTCAATTATACTGAAGAGAAAGAACAGAAAATTTTTCCTCTGTTCTGCCAAACTCATCCTTCCTTGAAAAAGTCCAAAGCAGTTCATCCTCTACTTTCAACTATTCTTGACCCAAATCCCCTCCTGTCCCAATTGTTCTTCATCTCCATTGTATTTTCTTTGCCTGCCCCCCCCTCCACAGGTGCCTCTTTCTTCTCTCTGTCTGATTCTACCCCACCCACCCCTTGCATACATATATGCACCCACACACACCAAACACAACTGCGGGGAGCTGCCAGTGCAATGGAGCTCTTTATATGCCTTCCTATCTCCCCCACCTTCTCTCTCCCCAAAGCAATATTGTATTTTTGATTCCTCAGCCTTCTCCTCCTACGCCTTCCACGGCAGGTGGGAAGTACAAACTTGTGATTAGCCCATTCAGAAAATGTAAATGCCTCCCCCCCCTTCTAGCCTGAGTGGCACACAGGGATGGGGTAGAAGAGAGGAGCAGAGAGAAAGAGAGACAGAACCCACAAATCAGTCACAGACAGGGAATGTCATTTTTAAGAGCATGGAGTTTAAACAAGTCTGGGATTGCAATGTCCTCAACCCTTTCCAAAAGCCAAAATAATGGAACCAACAACAGAGGTGCCGCTTATCAGCTTCAGCATAATGCAATTCCCCCCCTCACCCGATTCTGATAGCCTTTCATAATATTGCCTCCCCTGCCACCCTTATCTGTCTGCCAGTGCCTTCATTTATCTTGAATCCATTCCCAGAATGATTATTGGGACACCTTGTTTCCTGAAAGATGCTGTGAACATCCGCAGTTGAGTTGGTACCGCTTGAACCGTGGATGATTGTCTGCTGCTGAAGGTCGAGTTGGGTAATCAGAGTTGATTGCTTGCTCAAGGTTTGGTGGAGGGATTTTGTTGCTGTTGTGGTTGTTAAGCGGATAAGCTAAAACAGGGTCCTTTATTGAACCAGGAAATGTGGGCAAAAAGAATTTGGCTGCAGGAAGCAGCAAGTCAGCTAGAGGCTATCCAAATGAGCAGTGGGTTGGAACAGTTTCCTTAGAAGGAAAAGGGGCAATTTGGGGGAGAAGACAATGAATGTGGGCCTTAGTTAAGTATACAGTTGGACAGGCACAGTTGGAGAAGATTTCCTCCTGGTCTCCTACGATTATCCCTTGCAGCCATAGATTGATAGCTACACATCCAATGGCTTTCCCATAGAGAAAAAGAGGGGGGCAGTTGGCTTCCAGTGGGGTAGGGAATAGAGCCATGGATTGTCCGCAGTGATTCCCTGCAGCTCCCCAGGGTTCAGGCAGACCATTTCCCAGCCATCCTTGGAGATGCAAAGGAGGGCCTCCAATCTGCCCATTTGAGTTTTTACAGCTGGGCTGCTACTCTCCATCCCTCCACTACAAGGCCTGGAACAATTCATGAGGGTCTACATGGGACCGTCCAGATCAGGGTCAATCTATCTCTGAATTCCTATTGATGGGAGCAGGTGGTCTATCACTCCTATCACCTGCAGTCAGCCTCCTGGAGACATTCACGTCTTGAGAGTGGCCACAGAACCTTCCTCCGATTCATCTCCTGCCCAAGGGAAGGGACTCAGCAGGGGTTTTCCTACGTCCTTAATGAACATCCTTATTGAAGTGAGGAGTCTGCCTCCTATAAGCATATACGGAATTCCTTTTGTTGTTAGGATTATTTTCCCCTAGAGGCACGGAAGCAAGTATTCAGAGCAGCTGGGAAAAAGGAAGTCGCTGTGCCTTATATCATAACCTATGAACTTCAAGCCAGAGAGTGTTAAAGATGAAAAGTGCTCATCCAGTGTGAAAAACAGAAGGCTTTTTAGTGAGCAGCCCAAGGATAAAATAATATCCTCTTTGAGAGACGCACATATTTTGCTATGTGCAGAAAAGGGCATTAGGAGGAGCTCCTTCTTTCTTCTGTCCCAGTGTTCATTTTGATAGGGTGCTGTCCTGATTCCTAATCCCAAACAGCTGATCCCCATCATTGGGGTCAAAGTGGGCAATACAAGGAGGGGAGGAATCTGAGTGGGATAATCATGAAAAATGTAACTGCCAGAGCTTGTCCTCAGTCTTTTGTATATTACCTGAAAGATACCAATGTTGGGCACTGGCCAAGTCCTCCCGACAGTCTCCAGATGTTGCTCATGGCATCTGAGGACACTAATGGGTATCTTGATGTGGTAAACATCACTTGCTGCATAAGACCTTCTGTTGATCAGTTTCTGGAAGTGGAACCACTGAGTACCTTTTGGGTGGATTCAAATTCCAATCAGGGAGTCAATTGTGGGGTCCTTATTGGTTCTTTTCTTGCAGATGTTTCATGACCCAAATAGGTAGCATCATCAGTGTTAGAAGGGAGGAGGGTTTGTAGGGAGGAGGAAGACTGTGGGATCCTTGGTACTCTCTGAGCGTTGATTTTCTTGCAGATGTTTCATTACCCAGATAAGGAACATCATCAGGGATAGGAGAGAGTGGGGTTTTCTCTCTCTTCATATACAGCTATGGAAGGTGTTGATAACAATCACCCCCTTCCATAGATTCACTATGCTAGAAACCAGGAGACCTTGAGGTCTAGTCCTGCCTTGGGCATGAAGCTAGTTGGGTGACCTTGGGCCAGTCCCTCTCTCTCACCCCCAAGAAGAAGGCAAGGGCAAACACTTCCAAAAATCTGGCCAAGAAACCTTCAGGCACTCGTCCAGGCAGTCCCCAGGGGTCAAGAGTGACTTGAGGACCTGAAATTGTTCCATATCTTACAAAGAGGGGCGTGGCTCTTGAAGTCCCTTTGCAAGAGGAGCAGGTGAGCATTTCCTCCTCTGCCTTGAGGTTATGGAAGCATCACAATAACATGGCTGCAATGAAGCTGGGAGCTCTTCAGTTTGCAATTAAGCCAAATGGACTGCTTGAAGCTTTTACCTCTGCTCCTTCTTGGGCTTCATCCTCCTGTAATAACAATTAAAGCTTTTTCAATTAGCTTGGCTCTCAGAGGGCAGCCAAAAGCCAACACATTTTTTCCAATGAAAATGAAGAGTTCTACCAACCGGATAATTGTAATGATTTGCAGCTGCATTGGAGAGAGAAGGCTACCATTTTGGTAGCGTTGAGTCTCCAAAATATGTCTGGAAAGATGTATAAACTAGTTAGCCAGGATTGCTTTCTATGAGATCTGTGACATCATCTTGGAAGAAAAAGTGTGCAATGCTCTTTTTTTTCTTTTTAAAGGAAGGAGTTAATATGCAATCACTGCTGGCTGCAGTTTTTCTAAACGGTTCTCTGATTTTACACAATCCTGGCTGGAATTTCTGTGTCTCCCACTTGAACAATAGAATTTTGTACTACTATATTTTGCAGTAAATCAGCTCCAGCCTTTGTTCTCCCTATACCGAGAGCAGAAATCAGAGACAGGAGATATACATATATTGATAGGATGAAAAATGGGCTTCTGAGAGTCCATTTGGACTTCAGATCTTCCATTTCAGAGAGCTGAATATTGAGGGAACTTCTGCTTGGTAATTCGGAGCCAATAATCCAGATTTTGCTCTGCCCATGTTTTTGCCTTGTTCCCATGAAGACGATCCTTTCCTGGCAGCAGAATAAGGTCCCAGTCTGGCCAGATCAGAACTCTCCTCCTCCTTTGTAGTCTCCTACTCCATCTGTGGCTCAGAGCCCACCCAGCTCTTGCATTGAGGCAATTCAGCAAAGATCCCAGGCTGGGTCAATGGATATCCGGCGTCTCAGTTGTGTTTTTGACTTGTGGATTTCAACATGTCATTTGCTTAACCTGGATGGGGTGCCAGAAATGTAGCGGGCATCCTCTGTGACTTTAATTAAAACAAGGATCTGTTAATTACATTTGTACCTTCTTTCTCTTCAGGTAGCTGACATGCTAAAATAGAGGCACGGGCACAAAGAGGAGGCCAAGAGTCTTGGCAACATGTTGTGAGACTCACAAAAAGATGCAAAAGGGGCCAAAGCAAAATGGGGATTTTATGCAAAAGGGATTTAAAACAAAAACAGGCTTACTTTTTGTTTTTCTCAGGCAAATGCTGGGAAGGAGGGCTGGCAAGAATGAATTAGAGGGATGCCTCTCATGTCATGCAAGAGCAAATACAGATTGAAAAAAGTGACTGGTGAGATGTAGATTGCTGACAATATCTGGGAAAGAAGCAGAAGGTTACCAGAAGGAGGTCAGTGTGATGTCCTTGGTGTCCTTCTCTTCTCTTCTCTTCTCTTCTCTTCTCTTCTCTTCTCTTCTCTTCTCTTCTCTTCTCTTCTCTTCTCTTCTCTTCTCTTCTCCTCTCCTCTCCTCTCCTCTCCCCTCCCCTCCTCTTTTCTCTTCCCCTCCCTCCTCTCCTCCTCATCCCCCTTCTCCTCCTCCCCTACCCTGACAAATGTATTAGTCATAAGTCACAGGTATTGGAGGCTACAAGGCCTTTATTGAAGATAGAGGCGTTCTCAGAGTATGGCCCCAAAACTCAACATGTTGATCCAATGGTGTGTCATGCATAGAAAAACAGGCAGAGCTTCACTTTTGAGAATAGTCCTGATTGTCCCATACCAGATTTGTACCTCCAGAACAAGGTAGCACTTGAAATCTTCTTATAAAGCTTTCAAACTACATTCCTTGCAGGCAGTTACAAGCTTGTTAGCCTCTTTTCTGGCCTCTGCTTAGAGAATTGTGTGAACCTTGTTTCCTATTGTGCAGAGTTTTTCTAATTTACTCCATACTCAGTTCCTGTGTGTGCTCTCATTGAATAAAGTATGTAACATTTTGTAGAATTGTATTCAAGTCTCTGAGCCAGAGTTCTTTTTCTTGATTTCTTTTTTGTAGCCTTAGGTCCAAGTGCCCTCTACATAGTTGGAGTTAATGGGGTTTTTGTGCGATTTTGTAATGGGTTGGAAAGCCTTGGTCATTTGAGACCCACATAAGCAACGTGTTACATATTCAGAGCACGGAGCTTTGCTAGACATTCATTCCTCATTTTTCCTTCCCACTCTGGTTTAGATTTGCAAAGAATAAATAAACTGTAAGACACCAGTTAACCCTGCTCTGAAGATTTAAAATCATCAGAAGACAATAGAGCAGTATCTTGAGAGCAGTTGGATTGTCACAATAAAGACAGGCAGATACAATTGATGCATGAGACAATGGTCCTTTCTGAGTTTCCTGCTTGATTGTTGCCAGGAGAGCATTTCTTTTTTGACCCATCAAGAAAGAGCAATTGGAACATAAATGAAGGTTTCTGTCTGCATGTCACGTTAGTAATAACTCAAGAATTTTGTCCTCCCCTCTTTCTTGTCAAAACAACATTTTTGACATCCAAGAATAACAGAATAACAGAGTTGGAAGGGACCTTGGAGATTTTCTAGCCCAGCCCCCTGCTCAAGCAGGAAACCCTGTACCATTTCAGACAAATGGTTGTCCAATCGCTTGAAGTCCTCCAGTGACAAAGCACCCACAATTCCTGAAGGCAAGTCATTCCACTGATTTATTGTCCTCACTGTTAGGAAATTTCTCTTTAGCTCTAGCTTGGTTCTCTCCTTGATGAGTTTCCATCCATTGCTTCTTGTCCTGCCTGCAGGTGCTTTGGAAAATAGCTTGATCCCCTCTTCTCTGGGGCAGCCCCTCAAAAATTTGAGCACTGCTATCATGCCACCCCTAGTCCTTTTTTCCATTAAACTAGTCACATTTCTGTCCATTTAAGAAAATTAGGCTTCTTCATAGCCTGTTTCCCAAAAAGCAATCTTATCAATTAGGATACTTGGCATTATAAAATGGACTCTTGGAATGGGAATTAACAGTAGATTTTGAGCTTTAAAGGTCCAGTAAAACAGCCTGGGAACCATCTATGGAAGGAGAAAGATTATTGCAGGTCTGATATGAATTAAATTGGAGTTTGAAAAAATGCAAAATGTAGAGACATAAGGCAGTCAATAAACTCCTAGACTGGCTCAGAATGGAGTCCTCAGTGAGCACCCCAAGGTTTGAGAGCAATCTCCCCACTTTAGGCAGAAAAAAACAGACCGGTGACATAAATCGTGTTTCTCCTTTGCGTAATTGTCCTTAATGCAAAGCTGTAATGAAGTTGGCATGCTCTCCGCTTTGAGTTCCCTTCATCCAGATTGCCCATCTTCTTCCCCACAAGCTCTCAGCTCCATCACACACACCCTAATCCACCTCCCATAATTAAAAACATTAATGTTCCAGTTGACATATGGGTATGAAAGATTATACTTCCCACAAATAATGGGATGGAAACTTTCAATGAATATATAGAAGCTCATTAAGGACTTTTTGGAATTAAGTGAAGACAGAGCTGGTTTCCATCTCTTGATGGGGGGAGACGGAAATGGGGGGCAAAGTTCCATTGCTTGAATCTTTCAGCATAATGTTAGCTTCACATCCTCAAGGTACTAATTTGGAATTAATCAGTGTAATGGTCTGTTCTTTCTCTCCTTTTACCACTTGAAAATGAATGGTTGCTGACAGCAAAGATTTTGTAATTATTTGTTTTTAAAAGGCTTATTGAGAATTGGAGAAGAACAAAGTTTTTTGATGAGGCAATAAAATCAGTTGGGCTACAGTCACTCCAATTCTCCTGCTGACCAAGGACAATTAAAATGGAGAATTAAAATGCAGAATTAAGCCCCTCCCTAGCTGTGTAGAATCATAATTTCAGAATTCAATATAGACTTTATCGCATGTTTGCACAAATGGATGCACCCACCAGATGCCGGTGCCTTGTTTCCATTTCATGGCCATTATGTTTGAACTGATGTTGGCACAATTCTGGAATGAGAGTTTTCAGTTATTAAGTTTGTATGGAAATGTATATATTGTCCTTAAGGTGAAATTGCAGCCTTTTCTGCTTTAAACAATTATACATGGTGTTGAATGTGTACATCAAGGATGTGAAGTAGGCAATTCTTTGGATGTTGGCCAGTGGAAGCTCCCAGAATCCCCCCTCATTAGCCAGGCTGGTTCAGAACTGTCATGGATTCCCACTTTTGGCAGAGATAACATCATACATCGACTCATTCAGAAACTCTTGGAAGGCTGGCAGAGGTTACCATATCTTCTTATGGATTCATGGTGCATCATCTAATTCAATAAAACATCTTCGGTGTCTACTCAAAGTGGATGGCAGGAGAGCCTAAACATCTGGCCCTGCAATTAGAAGATACTGACTGATTTCTCCAATGATTCCTTAGCATGCTGCATGGATAGCTTTCGAAGATGTTGGATGAACCAGAAAGAAGATGGTATATTTTGGGGGTAGTGACGTTGTGGAACCTCAGAGGTGTTTAGCAACCTGGAAGAGTCAATGCAGTTATTTTCAGTAGCTCTTCCTTCATGGCATCTTTCCTGCAAGGGTGTCCATCTTCTGCCCCTGCTGCTTGTAGGTCCCAATAGAAGAGAATATTTATAATTCAGAACTGAACTGTGGGATTCTTGGAATTCTCTGAGCTTGGTTGTTTTCTTGCAGATGTTTCATAACCTACCTAGTTAACATTTTCAGTGCTAGAAGGATGCTCTCTCTGGTAGGTCACTATGCATCCCTTTAAGCTCTTTCCAATCTTTGGTCTCATTCACAGGACTTCAGCTATATTACCGAAATCAGAAGTGGTTTTATTGAATCTTAAGATATCAAGTCTACCTTTCCATACTATGAAGTTGCCAGAGTCAGAAAAGCCAATCCTGTTTTGTGTTCCCACCACACTGGTTGAATAGAACACAAAGGTTTTCTTCCAGATTATCATTTTTGAGGTGCCAGGAAAAGAGAATTATGAACTGCATGGCTAGAGATCAATCTTTGTTAAATAACTATTACTCATATCACTGCAATCTTTGATCCTGTCAAGGAGAGATGCTGTGGAGAAGAGCTGGACGTGCTTTTGAGATCTTGCAGGTGGGTGTGATCTGCGCATTCTTCACTGCTTTGGTACTGCCACATCTGAGGTAGGATTAGTTGGGATTGACTGAAAATCCTTCCAGCTATGAGGATCTCATAATTTCCCTGGTTGTTGGAAAAGCAGCACTGAGAGTGTGTGCAGAGCTGTCAACTTTCTGAAGTTTCCCATAATTTCCTGATGATCTGAAAATGGAGGAGCTACAGCTTGAGGGCACGAGCATATGCTTTGCATGCAAAAGATCTCATTTCAAACTCCAGAAGGGCTGTGGGGCTCCTCAGATTCCATTTCGAAAAAAAACTTTGGAATGCGCAGATCACACCCACCTGCAAGATCTCAAAAGCACGTCCAGCTCTTCCCCACAGCATCTCTCCTTGACAGGATCAAAGATTGCAGTGATATGAGTAATAGTTATTTAACAAAGATTGATCTCTAGCCATGCAGTTCATAATTCTCTTTTCCTGGCACTTCAAAAATGATAATCTGGAAGAAAACCTTTGTGTTCTATTCAAGCAGTGTGGTGGGAACACAAAACAGGATTAGCTTTTCTGACTCTGGCAACTTCATAGTATGGAAAGGTAGACTTGATATCTTAGATTTTATATAGATTCTACATGTTTCTAACTTACAGAAAGTGCTAGAAGAGGGGGTCAAGCTATTCTCCAAAGCACCTGGAGGCAGGACAAGAAGCAAGGATGGCACTCAACAAGGAGAGAAGCAACCTGGAACTCAGGAGAAATTTCCTGACAGTTAGAACAATTAATCAGTGGAATGACTTGCCTTCAGACGTTGTGGATGCTCCAACACTGGAGGCCTTTAAGAAGAGATTGGAGAGTTATTTGTCTGAAATGGTACAGGGTCTCCTGCATTGGCAGGGGGTTGGAACAGAAGACCTTCAAGGCTCCTTCCAACTCCCGTTATCCTGTTATCCTTTCTGTTAAGTGTTAGAAGTGTAGGGATCAATTCTTCAAAGAGCCTGGCCCATCTCTCCTTGAAGGAAGATCCATTGTTGAAAAATTCCTTGGGAAGCCTAACAGGGCACTGCAGCTAAATTGCTTTTATCATCCTTCAGTGGTGTGAATTACGCTATAAGATTGGTGGCTGGGGAGATGGTTGTTAGGATACAGCCAGCTCATGAATCTTAATTGCACTTCCTTGTCCTAAAGAGGTAAACAGAAAGAAGGCTGAGCCAAGTTTATTCCCTCCAGCTCTCACCAAGATGTGACTTTCCTGGAGATCTGAGTAGATATGAACCAGGGAAGTTCACCTTTTTCAG